CCGCCGTGAGGCGGCGGGAGAAGGGCCAGGGTAGGCGGGGGTGGGGGGGCTTCGGGCCCGTCAGACCCTCAGGGCTTAGAAGCAGCGAAGGAGGCGGAGCGCCCCTTGCAGCCGGGAGGACCAGTAAGAGAGGCCTCCTAGATCACTGGCATTCTAGCGTTTGCATCTCAGCCTGCCCCCCTGTTGTTTCACACTAGTGTGTAGCTTGAATTTGCATTGAGCTTTACCGATGCACGTGACTGACCGGAAGCCCTTGGTCAGAATTACTTTCAGAGGAATTCCTATTAGTGGTCCATTTTGGCTACTGTGAAGTGATGTTGATGCTAGCGATTATTCAGCTGGTTTGGAATTTATACGGGTTTGTATGGAGTTCCTTAGCGGAAATTAGGTTTTTCATTTGAAAACAGAAGTATATTCCCATACAGCTAGCTATTCAGGGAAATAAATGTGGATGGCTTCACAGTTTTTTATTTTAAGTGGTGTTGCTTTTTCCTCCTCAATATAAAAATCTTTTCTGGTATGTTTTGTTGTTTTGATCAGCCAAGGAAAAAAGAAAAGTCACTGAAGCTTCAAGTGATGATCCACAGCCAGGGATTGACCTGGTAAGAAAGGAATCATTAACCAGTTTGGAATCTTTCCAAACAGTGGAGTGCAGTGAATTTCAAAGTATGGCTTTCTTGCAGTCTTTGGGTAAGGAGAGTTTGGTAGAAGGTATTAAAAGAAGAATTCAAATTAAAAAACTTAAAAGCTTAGAGAGTCCACCTCTCAAAATAACTGACAATAAGGCTACACGAAATATTAAGGTTGAATTCCAAGATGAACTGTACAAGAATACTCCAAAATATTCTTGTAACAGCTTGTCACCTGGAGTAGAAAATAATTCCATTTTAAAATTACATGATTACAATTTTTTCCCCCATTCCAAGGGTTGTAATGATGGAAATAACCTTGCATATAAACCTCATGGTGGATGTATGCACATTCCAGAAAATTCCTCGAAGTTAAAGAAAGAAAACCTCAGGAGTCTTGCAGATAAGAGTGACACAAATAATATTCCCCAGCTCTTACAGACTGAAGAAAACTTAATGGGAGTAAATAGGTTATTATTTGAAGAAGCTGATTTACACCAAAGTAAAATTAATGGCTTGCTTTCCTGCCTTCAAAATGAAAAAAATAAATATTCAATAGAGGAGAACAATATTGGGAGAAAACCCAGGAAAAGGATGAAAGTGTCTGAAAAAGGAGATGAAATGGTTATTGAGATGAACTGCTGTAATGTGTATAACAAAACTGAATTGGTGTTACAAGACAACCAAACAGGTGCTGAGGGCAAAGGAGCAGAGACTTTAGAGGCTAAAAAAAGTCCTTTAAAAGTTTTGAGAAAAGTAAACCATAATACACTCTCCCCAATGGATCATTTATTAAGTCTTCCAGAAATAGGAAAAAAAACAAGTCCTGAACATCATGTAAATGCTATGTTTCAGAAAACCCTTGAGCCACTTGTGGAAGAAGAAACAAAGAACACTCCAGAGCCCTTAGGATTTAAAGGCATGGAGCCGGAAGAATATTTTAAGTCAATGCAAAGCTCAGTAGTGAAATTATCTAGTGATTGCCATCTTACTGAAAAGAGATCTTCACGGGAAGACTTGAGAAATGAAGCTGAAGAATCGAAGTCAGGCTGTCACAGAACAATACCGATGACTGGTAAAAGAACTTGGCCTTGTTATTCATGTGCTAGAATATCTGCCCAGTGTTGGAAAAAGTCTTCCTTGCCAGATTCAAATAACTTTCTTCCTGGGTCTCAGCAAAGTTTTAGGCAAGATGATTTTCTTAAACACCAAACAAATCAAACTCACTTAATTGATTCTAAATTATCATTACAGAGTACCATAACAAAAACAAATGGTGAATCTTCAAGCAAAGAAAAATTGAATTCTAATTTAAATTGTTTGTCTTCAGTCTCTGCAGTAGAGCCTACTTTGACGATTATAAAGGAACCTACAATTGATGATGGTAAAAAGATGAAGTCAGAGGAATGGAGCAGAAGTGGGTCAGAGGTAGTTTCTAATACTGATGAAGATACTCCGCTAACTAATGTGACTCAAAACTTAACAGGAAGTAAAAAAAAAGATAGAGGGAATTTAACAAAACTTAATTTGACAGTGGCTTCACAGGATGGCCAGGAAGCAAATAACTCTCTAGGCAAAACAATTCATCGAAAACCATGCATTGCTAAGCAAACACTTGTGGTTCCAGACTTGGTTAAAATATTGAACACAGGAAGACTGACTAATTTTAAAATTCCATTACTTAAGAATAAAACAGAAAAAAGAAAAGAAATAAATGCCAGGTCATCAGAGAGAGATGCTTATAGTCCCCTAGAACTTCTTGACAATTTATCTGGAGCAGAGGTAAGACAAAGTAGGAGTAAAGAAAATGTCTCCACAGTAACATCGGGACCTCAGTCTTTGAGTATACAAAATAGTGTAACTCCAGTGCAAGCTGATTCTGACTCATGCATGTGTAAGAATTCCTGTGGTATTTCTCCAAACTTTTTAAAGGAAAGCAATGATACTAAACCATCTAACTGCATCTCTGAACCAGGCAATATTATTTCTAATAAGGAAGCTGTTTCTCTCACAATTGAAAGAAATAGTTTTTCTTGTGATCTTGGGTGTATGGAGAAAAGTTGTGCCTTCTCTAATAAACAAGAAACATTCAAACCAGTTTTCTCTGAAGTTAGTGGTAGAGAAATGACTAAGAACTTTTCAGAAATTAAAATGGGGTTTCCAGATATTCTGAAAGCATATGAAGATGATGTCCTCTTAATTGATGTCATTCAAGATGACCCAGATCTCTTTGGGGTCTCCAATGAAGGGGAGCTCTCATTTACTTCAGAGGTCCCTATGATAAGCCAGGAGCCCATTGTTGCTGAAGAGCACCAATCAACAGACTCTAAGCACGTGGAACTTCCAGAAAAAAAAGAAACAAGCGATGACTTGAGGTATGCATGTTAAAGTATGCCTTTTGGTGCAGATTATTGTTGGGGGTTTCAAAAGCACTTTCTGCTCTTTGGTATCACTGATTTATTCAGTGATCATTGAAACTCCATTATGTTTTTAATATAGTTATTTACTAAATGTAATATAACACATTACTGCTGAAACCTGGAAATGTCATTATGCTAAAATTTAGAGTCAAAATAAAGCAATTCTATTTTGGATATTATGGGCACATTAGCAGTTCAGAATTTAAAATGGTGATTTGTAAATTACTGACACTGATGCTTTCAAAAGTCAATTACATTTATTTTCCTATGTTCTTAAATTATTACAAATATGCAGATATACTTTTATTTCAGCCAAGTTACTAAGAACAGTACTGTATATTTTAACCCATTTTCTGTGTCTTCCTTGTTAGATAAAAAATTCATTTTTCAAGGAACACAGAAACCTTGGAAAGGTTTATTTGACATATTTAGGACTTGAGAGTAGAATCAAAAGTTAAACCACTTTTCAGAAGAAAATGGCGTAAAATTTTTCTCATGGTTCTACTTTTAAGGTGATGGTTTTAAATGATGGTTTAGCCCCCAAAGAGGGCAATTTTGCCTAAGGCAACTGTAAATGGAACCAAGTAGTAACCTTCATGCTCAGGAATTTGATCTATTCTGGTTGATCCAAATTTTATTTTATGTTATGTCATATTTTACTAAACTTTTATGATTCTTCAAGCTCTAATCTATATGTTACAATGCTTGAATAATGCAATGTTTTGTGAACAGACTCAAAAGGAAACATGAAAACCCTTTCCACTAAGATTCAGTGTTACATTACTCAAATCTCTTTGGTATTTATACATTTTACTTAGTTATTTTTGTGATACATTCTTGATGTTTTTAGTGTTTCAAGAACTTTTTTTTAAATTTTTTTTTAACGTTTATTATTGAGAGACAGACACAGAGCATGAGCAGGGGAGGGTTAGAGAGAGGGGGGAGACAGAATCCGAAGCATGCTCCAGGCTCCGAGCTGTCAGTACAGAGCCCAGCGCGGGGCTCGAACTCACAAACTGCGAGATCATGACCTGAGCTGAAGTCGGTCGCCCAACCAACTGAGCCACCCGGGCGCCCCTCAAGAACTTTTAACTTACCAAATAGAGTACTTTCTGTTTGCCAAATGGAAGACTAAGCTTTATTATGTATTTTTAGCAGTATAATGAGATAGGATGATAGTTTGCCCATTTCAAAGATGGAAAAATAAAGATGACAAGTTGTCATTTGTCTAGGGTCACACTGCTAATAACATAATCGGGCTATGAACTGAGGCCTGTCTTACTTTAGAATTAGTGCTAAAAAAAGAAAAAATTTAATGATTAAGAACTTGACCTTTATAGTCTTTATCGTTTTTTAATCTTCTTGCCACCTATCAGCTATGGGACCTTTTAGGCAAATTATTTTACCTTATCTGTTAAAGGGGAAGATACTTGCTTCTGGATTGTGTGGGTTAAATCAAAGAGGAGATTTTGGTTTTAGCATGGCACTGAGTGAGGAGTAAGGGTTCAAAAGAAGGTAGTTAATGAAGGTGATTTTAACTCTTGGTATACCACACTTCTTTTGAGGAATACAAAGGGAAATTAGAGCAAATCCTGCATTTAAATAGAGCAGACATCTCCGTTAGCTAATAAGATATTGACAGTAAGCTACCACCAAAGGTAGAAAGAAGTGTGAATTGTTAGGAAGTTTGTTTTCTATTCTTTTTTTTAGAATAATGGCTGATTTTGAAAAAAGTGATACATGTTCATTACATTAAAAGTATAAAAGGGGGGTAATCCTACCATCCAAAGTAACAAATCAATTGCTAACAATTTGTAGTCATCATTTTAGACATCTATTTAGGCATATACATAGACATATTTTAGAAAAATTATATTGTTATTTTTTAGTAAAAATATTTAATTTTATTTATTCTTGATTGAGGGGAAGGGGAACTAAAATGAAACTAAAGGGATTGCTGAAACAATATACTTCTGTATCACAAGAGATTAGTTTCAAAAAGTCTCTCTCTAAAGTTAATGAGAAATATTATTTAATAGCTTGAATTTTATCATGACTTTTAAAAATTATGTTCTAACTTCAGACAGCAGCATTTGCTTTCCAAACATGAAAGATGAGCATAACTGTACACTTTGGCTTTTCTACCAGTGTTGCCCCCAACTTTTGTGTTTTAAAAAAATGTTTTATATTGTTAAGCTTTGTGTCATTTACATTCTCTTCAATAATCTGAATTCCCAAAGACTCTCTTAGTTATATATTTTTTTTTTTTAATTTTTTTTTTCAACGTTTATTTATTTATTTTTGGGACAGAGAGAGACAGAGCATGAACGGGGGAGGGGCAGAGAGAGAGGGAGACACAGAATCGGAAACAGGCTCCAGGCTCTGAGCCATCAGCCCAGAGCCCGACGCGGGGCTCGAACTCACAGACCGCGAGATCGTGACCTGGCTGAAGTCGGACGCTTAACCGACTGCGCCACCCAGGCGCCCCTCTTAGTTATATATTTAAATTGATTCAGTCCCTACCATTATTCTTTGTACTTTCCTCTGCTTTGGCTATTTTGATTCATTTCTTAGTTGGATAGATTTCAGAGCAGTTTTTTTCAAGAAGAGTTCATGATTGCTGTGTTCTTTAAGATCTTGGATACATAAGAACAACTGTTGTGTAGGCAAATTGGGTATAAAATTTTCAGTTTATGTTTTTCCTTTTTACAACTGTATGGTCATTCCAGCCTGCTTTCTGACTTCGTTGTGAAGTCTGAAGCCAAACCTAATTCTCCCATCATTCCTCTCTCAGCTGCCACTGCTGCCTTTTCCTCCTAGCCCTCCCCCCACTCCTCCTCCTCCCTTTCCACCTCGTCTTCCTCCTATCAGCTATCAGTTGTTTCTCTTACTTTCTGTCTTGGGATTGGTAATTATATGTCAGTTTTTCCTGGACAAGGTGAACCATTTTGGTTTGCAGTATCAAATTTACTTCAGATAATTTTTCTGATTGTCTTTGAACCTCATTTCCCTTTATTTCAGAAGTGCCAATTATACTTTTATTGGCTTTTTTTTTCATATCTCCTTCTGAAATTTTGGTCTTCAAGTAAACTTGAAAATTTCCTCAGTTGTTATTTATTGCATTGTATTGTATTTTTTTTTTATTTGATTTTACTTTTTTTAGAGAAAGTGTGAGCCGGGGAGAGGGGCAGAGGGAGGGAGAGAGAGAGAGACAAGGAAAGAGAGAGAGAGAGGGAGAGCAAATCTTTTTTTTTCTTTCAAGTTTTTATTTTTTTTTATTTTTTATTATTTTTTTTCAATATATGAAATTTATTGGCGAATTGGTTTCCATACAACACCCAGTGCTCATCCCAAAAAAATTATATTATTATTTTTAGTAAAATATTTATTTTATTTATTCTTGATTGAGAGGGGAAAGGGAACTAAATGAAACTAACAAAGTTGCTGAAACTCTTCTGTCACAGAGATTGATAGTTTCAAAAAGGAAGTCTCTCTCTAAAGTTAATGAGAAAATATTGTTATGCTTTAATTTTATCATGACTTTTTAAAAAAAGTATTGTATCTATTTAACTAGACAGCAGCATTTTCAAACATGAAGATGAGGCAGCTTTTGTACACACTTTGACTTTCTGCCAGTGTTGCCTTTTTACCCCCCCAACTTTTTGTGTTTTAAAATGTTTATATTATTATTTTTTGTGTCATTGTTCTCTTCAGTGCATGAAATCTAGTTAAAGGAACTCTTAGTTATATATATTTTTTTTTTTTAATTTTTTTTCATTTCAACGTTTATTTATTTTATTTTTGGGACAGAGACAAATGAGCATGAACAGGGGAGGGGCAGAGGAGGCAACTGGGGTGAAACAGGCTCAGGCTCCTGAGCCATCAGCCCAGAGCCCGACGCAGGCTCGAACTCTGAACCACTTGGATCATGGCGTGACCTGCGCCAGCTGAAATCGGACAAAAAAACAACAACAACGACGCCACCCAAACCTCTTTTTCTTAGTTCTCTCAGTGATGATGATGATTCAGTCCCCACCATTATTATTCTTTGTATTACTCCTCTCTGCTTTGGCCGGCTATTTTTGATTCATTTGCTTTAAATTGGATAATTTCAGAGAACAGTTTTTTCAGAAAGAGTTGGAATTTACAGCAGCAGCAGCCTGTTCTTTAGATCTTGGATACATAAATTTTCCCCTAGCTATTGTGTAGGCATAAAATTAGACAATTTTATAAAGATTTTCGGTTACATGTTTTTTTTTCCTTTTTCTTCAACTGGCGGTGGTCCGTTCATTCCAGCTATAACTGCTTTCTGTATGAGCTTCGTTCTGTTGTGAAGTCTGACCAAACCCTAATTCTCCCCATCTGCCATTCCTCTCTCAATCATGCCCCATAACTTTTGCCTTTTCCTCCTAAGCCCTCCCCCCACTTATACTCACTTTCCTCCTTTCCACCTCTCGTCGTCTTTTCCCACCTCTATCAGCTATCGGTTGATCTCTTACTTTCTGTCTGTGGGATTTGTGGTAGTGTAATATGTCAGTTTTCCTGGACAAAAGAAGAAGGTGAGACCATTTTTGGTTTGCAGTATCCCGATTCTATTTCAGACAATAATTTTCTGATTGTCTTTGAACCATCATTTTCCTTTATTTTCAGAGTGCCAATTATACTTTTATTGGCTTTTTTTTCATACTCTCCTTCACACAAATTTTGGTCTTCAAATAAACTTAATTTCACCTCAGTTGTTATTTGCATTGTTATTGTATTTTTTTATTTGATTTTAGAAAGTGTGAGCGGGGAGAGACAGGGAGAGAGAGAGAGATAAGGAAAAGAGAAGAGAGGAGAAACAAATCATCTTTTTTTCTTTCTCAAGTTTTATTTTTTTTATTTTTTATTATTTTTTTCTTTCAATGCTCTTGAGAATTATTGGTGGTTCCATACAACACCCAGTGCTCATCCCG